ATCTGATGGCGCTGTTTTCTTGCCTGTGTACTGTTACTTCACGAGCTGCGAAGATTTAAACCGAGAATTGTCTCGTTTGCATCAGTCGCCTTTCACCCTGCGATTCTGGCAAATTTGCTTTCCCACATACACTTGGTTTATTATCCTTTATCAGACTGCGAACACCAGTTTCTAGTTGCTGAAACCGACGTAACCAGTTAGAAATGCCACTGCGAAAAACGTTCCATTCCCATATCAGGCGCCGTCCGAATATAACAAGCCGCTCGTCGATTACCAAGACTGTGGTTACCAGGGCTATATGAGCATTTCCTACCCACAGCGTAGTCATAAAATCTAACGACTGAAGCTTCCCAACAGAATGTTCATAGAATATTTTTGCTTAAAAAACTTATCTGAAAGGCTTTACACACGTTTTCAGCAAAATTAGATTGTTGACGTCAATGTGTTCGACATCTGTAAATAATTGGGACTTTCCTTTAAACCATACTAGTTTGCCGCTTCAGCGTTAGGACATTTTATATCAGGGCACGTCTTATACTAGTAAACGTCCCCGTTTTCTCCGTCTTGATGTTTACTAAAATCGTTTCTTCCGGCAGTAAGTTGTCTCGGTCGCCGAATTGGAACAATCGATTTTTGGCTTTAACGATCGGTATTTTCAGCAGTGTCAGTAGTCCACACAAATGTCTAACCAAGTTGGGAAACCATAGTGCCTGTTGGGATCGTAGTTTGTATGCGCCACATAAACACACCCATTTTTTAGACACAAAAACGAGTCAAAGCATGACAACACCATGACAAGTGTGAAAGCAGATCCAATTTTGAGATTACTGGCATTTAAGTAGATCCCCCTCACCAGTATGAAAATCCCGGCACACAAAATCCAAGCGTGGAAAAGACGATAAGATTATTTTACAAACCGTCAGCAATGTGAAACCCAAAAAAGGTACAAAAGTAATGATGAGTTATCCGGAATTTCTCTTCAACTCTTTGAGTAGTGAAACGTCATGAAATATCCTCTTTAGCACTATACATCATCAATGTCATTAACAGTGTTCAGCACTAGTGCCAGGGTTTAAGCGGTCTTTTTATTCGAGAGCAGACAACCGTAAGGGAGGACGGAACCACCCACACAGTTGGCATTTTAACTCACTGACGTTCATATTGGTGAGGACGTTGTATAGCTGCGGTACGGTTTTGTTACTGGCACCCGTGGAAATACTCTGGACTTGGTCACATATATTGTACATCCATATAGTCATGACCTTGGGGGAGAATTTACTAAGAGTTGGTATAGTAGAAACTTTACTCAGTGATCGCTACCGGGGGCGGCCTCTTTCGCGGGATGGAGACTTAAGCTGGTGTTTTAACGTGTAACTAGTACCTGTTCTTTTTCGAGATGACCCTTTGTTGTCATTTGACAGCAGTTTGGATAGCCTCATTGAGACTGTGTGGATCCAGTTGTGGCTAGGATAGGAATTGGTTCCGTAGGAGTTGCAAACAAAACAGCGTGAGACTAATCAGAGGCGGTTAGTTTGAAGGGATTAGCGCTGTCGACGGGCGTGCTTCAAGAGTGCTACTGGATTGTCATTTTCCCGAAACAAGTGAAGACAATTTTGAAAAATTACAAAGCTACTATTTTGTACAGCAATACACTTGGCTCCATTCGTTCAATCGAATGCGTATTTGGACCATCGGTAATAACTACTTTATGCATGTCGTTCGAACTACCTTTGTCTTGTCACTGCAGTTGTTACCGGCTAAATCAAACCAGAGTGGAGAAGCACAAAATCCGAATTTATCCCTTATTACAGTCATAGGCAAACTACATCATTGGTTGTGCCAAGATTTTAAATCTGGAGTTCTGATATTCGCCAACGTATGCAGGACACAAGATAACAGGATATCAGTTCACTTATGAGGGCTGCCGTTGATTTACTAGGAACTGTTCTAAGTGTGTGAACAAATCAATTTGCCTGTAGAGACTTTCAGTTCATGTGGCGCCATGAAGACTTGTCAGATGTCGATTTTTCGATTTTCGGTACCGCCAAGGATTCAAACAATTGATGAGCACTATTGAGGGTAAAAGACATCTAGGGCCTCACCTCTTTAGCACGGATCAATTAAGACTATTTTGTCGGGATAGGAAGAGGACTGTTTAAAGTAGACTGACATGAGTAGAAATTCCCGAACTCTCACGTTCACAATAGATCTATATTTGGCAGAAAGGTCAAACTCTAAACTGAACAAACTAATTACCCAACTGCAGTCAATCAACTTGTCCCAGAGCATCTTTAAATGGGGTACACTAGAGTTGAGGTGTTTGGTTGTTTCAGCTGGTGATTTGCTTAAAAATCGGACTTCTCTAAAAAAGCTAATCCCTAAATGTTTAACATTCTCGTGGAAGGTCTGATAAATCTTAGGCCGTTAAGATGGATGTATATTTATTAATTCTACAGCAGAAGATGTAATGATCAGTCAAACACTTCAAGCCGATCGGATTTCTTTAGTTTCATGCTGATCCCGAAAATTTTGGAAAATCTACTTCACTGCTACCAAATAAAGAGGTAAACCAAAGCGTCTTTCGTGTTGGTTGAAGCAATAGATCTCTTCAACTTATATTCCCCATGCACGCAGGCTGTGACAAACTGCGAAATGTGTCTGTTAATGCGATACTTAACCGTTCCTGTAGCATCCGCCTGATGAAACCTAGTCAAGACGAAATCCGACGTGGACTGTTTTTCAGGACTGACTGCATTAAGCTTGTATAAATGCACTAGAGGTAACATCCATTGCCAGCGGGAGTTACTATACAGACAGGAATCTCTTCGAGGTAGATGAGAATCCTCGTCATGTGTCTTAATTTACGACATTATTTGGCATTTTAATAACGGGAAGTGAAGCATAAAACGAATTATTAGGCAAATTGCTATTTCAACACGCGTTACATGTACAAATGAGCACCATTTTTCCGAATAAAACTACCAGTAAGGTTGCTGAAATCAATTCGACAACCCACGATCAATTTCGCCCTTCCACTTTGAGTTCATTAGGTAGGTAGGTAGGCAGGGTCTCCGAGTTTCGTTTAACCTTATGTTATATTTGAACCCCACTTGGTTTTTTAGAGATAAAGCACTATGTGTACGACATGCGGTGAGTGCTTTTTCACAAGGCCCCACCCCGTTTTAGGAACCATCAGGCGGATCCTAGTCACCGAGCATTCGTCAGTCTCATTTCGTACTCGAATATCTAGTTGAGTGTATGTGCAGGTAAAGTAGTGTGAGTTAAGATTATGGTAGTTGACGACTTGACCAAATCTTCCAATGATGCTGTTATCCAAACGCTAATTAAGGTTCATGGACATTCGAGGACCTGGATCACATGAGGTGCCTCAAAAAGGGGTGAAAGGGCTTCTGGGCCTCCCGAATGTGAGTACAGTCATATCACTAAATGTTTGGATAGCTAAAACCACGATAGAATGGTTTGTTGTCACATAAACACATATTAGTACGTATGATATTAGTTTTAAATCCATTTAATTTGTATTTCACCCAGAACACTTGATTAACTTCAGGAAAGCTCACCCTCGGGCGCAAACATCAGTAAAATTTTGCTGTACATGATCAAACAGGTTGTTTTCTCATCACCATTTGAAAAATTGTCCATTTCAAATCCAGTTTTTTATGCAAGTTGTTTTGTGAATAGTGTTGATTAGACAGTGAGTCTTGTCGTACATCCGGGTGCACTTTAACTGACCTGTAGGATCTTCCCGATCTGTCGGCTACCGTGGGGACCTTCAGAAAAGCAGGGACAACATAGTTCGTGTGCCTCGAATTCCACACAATACTACAAGAATCTAGGTTCTGGTTTGGTTAACCGTATAGCATGTAATTGCATTAGGGTAAATTACGTAGAGCTTTTTATCTGTAGAATTCATTCGGCGCGGAGCTCTCATGCAGCATCCGGTTAGCATGACCGCTGATTTGACCCAAACTTGGACAAGAGCCCAGTATCATCCAGAATATGAGCACTGGGCTCGAAGAATGAACGGCCCACGCCTCAGCTCTTGATTATATCCAGACAGGATGCAACAGCATTTGATCCCAAGTATGCATCCTCAGCACCGGTTCCGAATGTCACTTCAAATCCGCTTTGATTGTTGTCTAACTAAAACACTGGTAGATTGATGACACCTCGGAAAGAAGGATCCGAAATTGTAAACCCAATATTTTATCCCTTCACGAGTATTAAGGCCATAGAGCAAAAAGGAGACGACTCTGGTTGCAAGAAGGATACTTTGTTCCGAAGATTAGGGACGCAAGGTAAAGGCAACCCTCATGTTTATGTTGACTATCACAAGGAAAATTTTTCCCATAAACCTCAAAAGCCCCACCAGGTCAGGAGTCTGTTCCTGACTGGACTTCACTTGAGGCACGAATGAAGACTAACATACCAGGAACTGCATGAAAACCTTATATTTAGCAAAATCCCGTTGAGATCTGACTGATTCTCCACCGTTACGTTAAAATGTAATTTCGCAATCAATTATTATCTTGTCTACTAGTCCCCACTTGAGTTTAGGTTTCATAAGTCTCGCTCGTTCTTAAACATGGGTTTGGCAACTATTGTGCGGGATCATCGTTGTCTCGGTATCGGCTGTGAAAGTTTAGGGAGTAGCTGAAACACTCAGCACAGATGAAGCGAAAGAAGTCCTTTCAAAAATCTGCATATAGCGCAGACAGTGCAGGTTTTTCAGCGTTGTCTGTGCGAAATAATGGGTGGACTCTGGGAAACAGCCTCCAATATCTGAATTATTCTCTGAGTGAATTCTTCTGAGTGTTACCATGCTACCCATCTCTCCAAAGTTTCATTTGTAGCTTCGGACTTCAACCGAAAAGTGCTCAAGTCCGGCCTCCTTATACATGGTTCTTAGGTATATCTACATTGTGCATATTGATTTGTGGGTAGATCATAATCAGCACCAAGAGGCAGAAAAAACTTACCTGCTAGAATTTACAAGTATCCACAGAATTATCCACACAGAATTTTATCCTCACTGTGTCACATGGATGTTTTCAGATAGATTTGTACCACGTGCATCGGATGAAGCAGATTGATTATGGACATATTACCAGTTAAACCCTCGATCAAATCGAATTTCGATTAGAAGTTCATTCATAGCCTCATTCCATCCCTGCGCCATAGTCCGTCCCCCGAGCACCAGAAGAGTGGATGCTAATCTTTCCAACAATCGCATTCTATCATAGTGTCGTCGTGTTGTTGTACCTTCATTAGCAAACGCATGCGGCCTCAGATGAATGTACCGACATGGGTGGACACACAAGCAGAACGGCGGCCTACACGCATACACGCGTGTGCGTAACTGCATCAGAAATCTCGCATCGAACAGAAGACCTCGGTTTCAGCACCAATCACAACAGCCTATGAGTGCGGCCGCACATACACGCAAATGACTGACCAATCACTGCACTGACAGGTTGTTGTTAGCCCAATGTGTCAATGGGGAAACAGAATCACATTCGGGCAACTTCATGGTCGATTAGCGTGGCGGCGGGCCATGAAAATACGACACGATGTTTTATGGGTCTTCTGTGATTGCCTGGTAAGATTACGTTTGTCTACACTGAACTTCCATTATCCTAACTGTTCAAAAACAACCGAGGAGAAACTGCGACATGCGAACGGCTCCACATGCGTCATGTAACTGATGTTCGCGAGCATAGTGTGAAGATTAGTGTCGTTGGCGTTGAGAACTGGTTAATGTCCCAATCAAACAGACGCGCTTGTTTATTCCAGAATAACTAATTGCATACAGCTTGTTCGGTTGTATTATAAGAGCAGAATCTCGTCACAGTACACTCAAGTTAGATCGTTTCTTCGTTCCAAGTTTCTACCGACCTTGAATTTGTAGTTATTTGGGGGGCTAGTATTTGAGAATTAACCATTACTATAGTTTGGCCATTATTATGACCCCCATTATTGTTAAAGCAAAATATTGCTGCGTTCAAACACGTGGTGAGCAATCTTCATTATGGCTGTCGTAAACATACACGTAAAAATTGCCACTCCATCAAACTTTCCCTTCAAGATACTAGAAAGTCTCTTGACCGGAGGATAAGTCCTGTTTCTAGAAGGTACGTCGTGTTAAAATGGCCAAGTGACAATGAGATAGGTTACGCGGCATATATTTAGCTCGAAAGAAGTGGCGCTTCGAATATTCGCATCACTTGCAGTCGTATTGTGCAAGTACGAATGAACATAGTTCACCCAATCAAATAAATAAACATCTGGGCCATCATGCGACGCACAAAACAGTTTTCTGTGCAGTGACCAAGTAGCTCTATTTTTGCCAAACTAAGGTAGGCATTTTTACAGCTAGCAAAAGGTTTCCTTCAGTAATTGCTTAGAACCGCAAACAACAACAGGCTTCCTAGTAGAAAAAGTGAACTTCCAATTTTTAAGAAAGGCGACAAGCGATCACGCAATAATTTCAGTCCAATGTGGCTTCTTTGGCCTTATCCCCTTTAACTCATTTGACGACATTTTCCAGTGAAATCCCAGCTTCAAACAAAAAAATTTCCGACCCATGAATTATAATCATTTTGACTTAGATGAATCAGAATTAAAGTACAAAACACTCAGCAAATCAATTATCCGAGTAGCGGCTTCCAGCCAGCTAAAGCATGCCTATTTACTAGGCGAATTTAGGTAATACCAGCACTGAAGGAGCTCACAACGCTATCGACCAATAATGATAGGAATTTGTGAAACCGCACTGCAGTAAGTTGGCGGTGCTTTTCACTGCAGATGACGTCGGAATTCTATCATCCAATCAACAGTTTACAATTACTTTAAGCAGTTTAAAACTCTCAGCAACTTCGAACACATATCAACGACCAATCACAGTGGAACGAACGAGCACACATGAGTATCAAATAAAGGGCGTGAAGACAGGTGAATAATGCTCTCCGTAACCTGAAGAAAACTGTTTTGTAGCAATTGACTGTGTTTCCACAGGAGTGAACTGAGTCATTTTTCATCGATTTTTTTGGGGAAATAGCTGAGCAGGTGATCTTTGTTGGATCAAACAAGAGTGGAAAACCCGACATTCAATAAAGTATTTCGTCCAAATGGGCCATACAAAACCACAAAACCTGTCCTTTTACACTTATTCTGGTATAAAAACCGAAATTCCGCATCCCGTGAAATGAAACCTGGTGCTTTAAGTAGGACAAGAACCTGGTCCAATCATACGTAAACTTACCCTAATTCAGTGTTATTATTCATCAAAAATCAGGAATAATGAAAGGAGTAACACTGATTACAATGATAGTAATCATTTCTCACCAATTCGTCTGACGAATGGTCAAAATGCGGCGGACAAGTGTTTCGACGTTTAGCGTCCCGAAAATCAGTGGTAATTATCCATGTTGAAGGCACAAATCACTAAGTCATATCATTTAACGGTCCGCCACCAATCAATAAAGTGACCATAAGCACTGAGCGAAACCTGAGTCACAGATGTATGATTTTAAGAACACCCCCCTGGTGACTGCGCAGCGATCGGATTTGCACGGTTAGATAATCCCGGCAAGTCAATTTTCACTTGGAACCTGAAATCGCATATTCATCGTTCAATACATACGCCAAAAACCTGTATAAATAACATACCAACAGTCCCATTTCACATGCCAACTTTTCGTTTCCTTTTGGCTACACCACACGCGAAGTCTCTACTCACCAACAATTCAGGAGTATCCATTTGTTGAAAAAGAAGCACGTTACAACTATTGGGGGCCAAACAATTTGCCTCATTTATGAACCACCATTTTACTTGCTTCCCATAAGGTAATGACAGATCGTATCCGTAGTCTGTAGCCACTAAATGTTTCCAGGTTCGTAAACCAGCTTCCACGGTGTCCAACTGGAATACCATCTCGGTGTCTCATTGCCATGCCTCCCTCCGAGGGAATTACAAAAGCCAAGAGGCTGCTATGTTACCCAAGCCTAGATATGAGGAATCAAGAAGCCGCAGTTGACTTCGAACCACGAACCTTCCGATCAGTGGGCTCGCGCTTCGACTACTGAGGTTTCTCCAGCATATAAGTATATTTATATATACATGCATATATGTGCACATACAGGTTGTGACACTCCAGATACATGAAGCCATTAGAATATTAATCATAAATCATAAAATTTTTATCCATACAGTGGACTAATACTACTGATGGGTTTGCGACATTTATATTGTATTTTGTTAGGATGGCTTGCACAGCACTGTTAGGTGGCGTATTTTGAGGGGAAGTTTAAGCAAGTTCGTTTGAAAGGAATTGGTGGAACCCGAAAACGGAACCTATATGGAGACTGCATTTGTATGGAGAAGAACTACTGGGGTGGTTTCTACGGACGACAAACCTGTAGAAATCTCGATCTCATTCAGAGATGTAAGAATAAACAGCACGATTGAAACAAGCGCGAGGAATAAGTGAAACAGAAGTATGTATATGTGGCTTAAATGTCAGGGTCTGAACTACTTGTAGGCTAGAATGCCCAGGGCCGGAAAAAAATGCGCGATACTGATTTTACGTGTACCATATCCACCTATCAGGAGTTGATGGGAACATCATCGCTAAGAAAGCTCACGTAAAATACCGATTGTTGCTCAGCATTTTTGTTGATGGACAGACGGACCAGCCATTTGAGGCCTCTGTGGATGCGGTTCGCAAAAGTGATGCAACTGGTTTTTCACACAGACCGGATTGATTATTCTGAGCGAATCTTCGAATTTAGTCAACCGAGCCAATTTTCATGTGTCATTCTCAGCCGTTCTCAATGCACAGCAAAACAGGGAAGATGTACATCCCAAAAGGTGGGTAATCAATAGTTTAACTTTCGTTGAGTGTTCTGGACTGCTATGTTCATAATCATTAGAGGTACCCAATCGGAGACCCATGAGGGACTCGTACCCGAATCACTAGACTGAAACACTGAAACACTGAACTGCTCTGCATCATGGCGTAACCAGAGAATGTTTTGCACGCAGTCGAGTTTGACGTCGCTTATATTGTATTTTCTCGGAATAAAACCGCTAGATGAATAAGCGGATGTTTGTTGCAGGTTATCAAACCATCCAAACCTAATGATGAGGTGCCAACAGCGCTGTGTGACTACTGTTTGAGGCTTGATTATTTAGATACAGGCACCATCCTTCAACATCTCTAGGTTTCAGCATAATTCTGCGATACAAATGTTGCAGTAGTGGACATATTGGCGAATCGTTGTGATAGGTCTACAATATTTGGCTAACTGTATGATCGTCCCTAAGATGCAACGCAAGAAAGCTATTTTAAGTTACTCAGGTTTAGCAGGTAGACACAAAGAATATGACTGCAAGATAAGCATTGCACTTTTGACGACACGGCAAAAACAAGGTTACCTACCGAAGGTGTATACCAGATGCGTGCAACGATCAATCACAGATTCTGTCAAATTCTGATAAGTAACTCCCATTTGGAGAAGTCCTTCAATAGGATGCCGGTCAAAGTGAGACCAAACGTGATACTGTCCGGTTCGCGCGAACAGTATCTGAATATACTTTCTACTGAAATCCGTCGACATTTCTGAGCTCCTTATCATTCTACAGATTCAAATATCGCTGTCATCCCCAGTAGGACTGAGCCGTTGAGAGTGAGTCCTCTTTCAAGGCGGGAAAACATCCAAAGATCTTATGAAACAAACCTTATGAACGCCTTCCAGTCGGATAATCTATATGGCGATTCCATGGACACTGCTTCAAACTTTTGGGGCGTGATCATCTAGGCTTACGCAGTAGCAATGGTTCGAACTAATTAGTCCCTCATCCGTATGCCAATGATTCTGAATTTCTTGCAAGTCATCGGCCAAGATTTGAGTAGCGTCCATTGCTTGCTAACGAGAAAAGCGTTACTGCCATTAGGAACTGAACAGCTGCGTATGAAACCACTGTTTGCAGCTGCTCTTTTTTCTCAACACTTTTAGTAAAGTAGAGGATGTTTAATCGGTCTCTTGGAAGACGGTTGCCACAACAACTGACCGTATGTTGGAGCACCGTACAGTGGCGCCAATTAGGGCGTTATTAGCAACCTGAGTGGACGAGGCAAATGATAACCATGTAAAGCTTTCTTCGCCGCCATAGCAGAACTAAAGGTAGTTTATAATGCCATTTCGTGCCGCTACCATATATGTCACTA